AAGAAGGGTCTAGGCCCGAAACATCAGCCTTCCTGCTCCTCTGATGCTGCTTGGCCTGCTGTGTTCATCCAGCTGTACACCTTGTTATCTCAGATTCTCCTGCATCTGCAGTTCCTACTATCTCTGAAACACTTGATTGCAAACCCTTCTTTGTTGATGCACAATGGAAGCAGTGAATGCACCTATAAAATGCACTGCAGTGACTCACCAAGGCTCCTTTGACAGAACTGTATGTACCCGCCACCTTTCTCATGGGCTGAGGAGTGGCAGATGGAGTTTAATTTGGATAAATGTGAAATATTGCATTTTGGTAAAACAAACAAGGGCAGGACTTACACAGTTACTGGTAGGGCCCTGGATGGTGTTGTTGAATAACAAGACCTAGGGGTTCAGATACATAATTCATTGAAATTTGTGTCACAGGCAGATAGGTTGGTTAAGAAGGCATTTAGCACGCTTGCCTTCATTGCTCAGACCTTTGAGTATAGGAGTTGGAACGTCATGTTGCGGTTGTACAAGACATTAGTGAGGCCTCTTTTGTAGTATTGTGTACAGTTCTGGTCATCCTGCTGTAGGAAGGATATTATTAAATTGGAGAGAGTTCAGAAAAGATTTACCAGGACATTGCCGGGAATGGGGGGTCTGAGCTATAAAGATAGATCTTTCACTGGAGCATTGGAGGTTGAGGGGTGACATTGTAAAGGTTTATAAGATTATGAGGGGCATCGATAAGGTAAATAGCAAGGTTTGGAGGGATGGGGCCAAACATAGGCAAGTGGGACTAGGTTAGTATGGGAACATGATTGGTGTGAACTAGTCGGACCGAAGGGTCTGTTTCCATGCTCTGTGACTGTTATAAGGACAAGATAAGCAGATACATGGGACCACCACCACCTGCAAGTTCCCATCCAAGCCACACACCAACCTGTCTTGGAATTATATCGCTGTTCCTTAACTGTTGCTAGGTCAAAATCCTCAAACTCCCTTCCTAACCGCGCTGCCATGCCCCTACATCCCAAAGACTGCAGAAACTCGAGAAAGAATCTCCCCACTACCTTCTTCAGGCCATTAATGATCGACAATAAATGCTGGCTAGCTTGAGAAGCCCTCATGAACTAACAAAAAAATTACAAATTATGTGACTTGGTAGGGAACCTGCTGGTGCTGCTGTTCCCAAGCACATACTGTCTTTGTTCTTCTAGGTTTCAGAAGTTGCCGGTTTTGAAGCTGCTATCAAAGAAGCCTTAGTGAGCAGCTATGGGATATCTTTTGGATGGTACACACTGAAGTGATGGGGCATCAACAGGGGGTAGTCAATTTGTCAGGTGTTGAACTTCTTGGGTTTTTGCATTATACACTCTACACTTATTTGTCTGTTCCATTACACTCTCGACTTGTGTGATGTAGGTGTGTCGTAGATTATTACTATTTGGGAACTTGGATTCGCAGGTAGAGATAAAATACAGTTTAGTTTTCAGTTTTATGAAGGTGACTTGTCTTTTTTAACAAAGTTTAGAAAGTTATTTTGCATGGTGAACTAGCACCAGCCTTTCCAAGATATTATGTGACATAAGTTAAATGACTTAATCAACTGCCTGGGATGTTAATTGCTGAATGTTTACAAAGCTAGGTTTTATAATCTCAGTAGAAATAGAAGGTCATAGTAGGTTCAGTTCAGCAGAAGATATATCATCTTCACAGAAGGGCAGTTTGTGGAAATCTTCAAGTTGTGAGAGTTTGTGGAAGTTTCCAGGTTTGGAGAACTAAAATAAATCCAGGCTAGATGTAAGTACCTAGGCCATCATGACCAGAAAGCATTAGTTAATTAGAAATTAAAGAGTTAAGATAGGTCTGATCCATCACTGGGGGGGTTGAGTGACTATAAAGAATATTGCCGGGAAAAGAGTTGAATCTTTCTTGGTGTTTATAAGATCTTTCTAAATCGTCAGATAGCTTTTTTTTCTCCCCTTTTGTGGAACAATTATTTTTTGTTCAAAGAACATCAGCACCTGTGTGTGAATATGTTCAGTAACTGACTAAGGTTACCAAATAATGCTTATGATCTAACAAGCCAGGTTTCTGTCTGGTACCTGACTTGTCTGGCATCACAATCAGATGGCATCAAAACACGTGTAAATGGGAACATGCTTTGGACAGTCAGAAGGTGAGTTATTCACCAGTCATCACCCAAAGATTTTCAGCTTCCTATTTGCTGTTGTAGCCACATAATTTATATGGCTGGTTCTGTTTAGTTTGTGGTTCATGGCGAACCTGAAAATGTTGATAGTCGATGTTACTCAGTTTTTGATAATGTTTTAAACTGGAATGAAGGTTGGAGGTAACCCATCTGTGAAGACAGCCCATCTGAATCAAACAGTTGGAGTGTGTGGATAAATATCCTTGAACAAAACATGCAGGGTAGTGTACTGAGTCTGTGGGTTGAGACCACGACTGGGGAAAGCTGTACAGGATCTTTGGGAAAATGAGCTATTCTTAGTCAATAAAATTTTATGTATAGTTTTAATTTTTTGTGTGGAATTAATATTTTAAGATTGTGTATTTTGGATTTCTGAAGTTGGTGATTTTTTTTCTTTTAAGATCCCTGCAATATTGTTGACCTGACATCGCCCAGCCATTCTCTGACCATTTGTGCCAACCACAGCAGTGTGTCAAACTACATTCAGCGTGTCCTAGAGAAGGCTCAGACTATGTATGATGCCCATGCCTATCTCCATTGGTACTGGAAGCACGGCTGTGAAGAGGGAGACTTCTTGCAGGCCTTTGAGATCCTGGATTCTGTGGTGAAAGAATACAGTGCTGCAGGAGATCATTGACCATCCATCTCACAGACTTACATATGTTATTGTTAAGTGCTGATAAGAGGAGAAGTAATGGCCTTTCTCTTCCACATGTGGATTATTTTCCAGCTCCTGGTTTGAAATATAGTTGGGCAGTCACAGGCAGATTTTCATGTAAGCAATGGAGAAATATAACATTTGTTGTGAGTAAGGCACAGTGTTTGGAAGTGGGAGTTTTATGCTGTCTCCAACTAAGCTGTACCTGACTATAATCTTCTGGGACTATGTCGACTTTACCATCCCTGACCTGGGAATGCTGTGTGCTGAGACCTGGTGCTTAAAATTACAGCTTTCAGCACAACATTCAATCCATTTATTACATATGGAACATGCTAACTAATTGCAGTTACATCAGTGGTTTTGCTTTATGTGCAGAGGTCCCAGGTTTATTGTTTGGTCTGCTGTTGTGGTAATGAGAGTATCCCACACTGGTTGAGTATTGGCAAAATGGGAAATTGAATTCACAAGTAGTACTCATGTACATGATCATTGTTCAGATATCAGCTAACTTAATCGGGGCTGCTGAATGAACGCTGAACCATACAGAAAGATTGATTTATTGAGTACAGGCTGAAAGTTGACTTTGTGTGTACACTAGCTAGTGCATTTATTCACTCAGCCACCAGGCCTGACTCCATACCTGAGAACTATATGTGAGAACAAACTTAATTTAAAACTAAACATACTTGCAGGTAGTAAAACACAATATGTGATTTTGTTGATTTATTTAACTTTGTACAATGCTTATTTTAGGGATACTGGCCTTAAATTTGTTGCCAGCAGTTTTTTTTTAGAAAAAACACTGTTATTGAACAGTATTTATGCTGGAGGGTCCCTTTTAGCTTTTTTTTCCATTACTGTGACTGAGTTGTTAGGTAACACTGAAGATAGAGGGTGGTTTGTTCTTGATGGTTTGAGTGATCATTCCTGGCTTCTTCCTTAAGGTTACTGGTTGAGGCTGAGCCATGGCGTTGAGGTAATTTTGCTGGAAGGAAGAAAATCACACTGTGAACCAGCATACTGACTAGCAGAGACATAATTCTTAATTTCACAGAGCCTTGGTATCACACTTTCTGGAGTTTTGCATTAAGTTTTAGACACTAAAATTTCAGTTAAAGATAAATTGGAATAACTGAAAGAACTGCAGGTGCTTGAAATCAGAAACAAAAACTGAAATTGCCAGAAAAACACAGCAGACTTGGCAGCATCTGTGGAGAGAAATTAGAGATAATGTTTTGGGTCCAGTGACCCTTCTTCAGAACTGGAGGTTCTGTAGGATTATGTAGGTTTTCCAGAATTATACCAGGGTTGATGGGCTAAGCAAACTTGGTTTGTGTTCAAATAGAAAATGCTGGAAATACTTTGCAGATCTAACAGACAGAGAAGGAGAGTTAATATTTCAAATTAATGACTTTTCTGATGAAAGAGATGTTCAGGTGCTGGGACCCAATCTAGACCACTGAGAACATGATTTCTGGATAAGTTGGATTTGAATATCTAGTCCAGAATGGTCTATTTCATGGAGGAAAACGTTCAGGTCATGGTGATGCCATGTCATTCTCAGTGGTGAAAGATCTGGGCCCAGTAGTAGCAGCCAAGCTCCCCAAGACCATATTCCAGCTTTCTCGCTGTCTTTTTCTCAATTGTTCCCTTTGCTTCAATTATTTGTTCAATATTTACCCTTAATGGTCCTGTGGTGAAGAATTTCCTGTAGATATGGGTACAGTAAAATAATATTTACGTTATATACGTTAGAGGCCTACACTAGTAATCTAGCTGACATAAACTGAAACACCACCCTGGCAATTTGGGAATTTAGTTTTCTAAAAGAAAAATAAGTAAAAATAATTAATATCAATTAAACCTCTTATCAAGTTGTTGTTAAAAACCATTTTGTTTCAGTCATATCCAGTAGGGTAAGAATCTGTGTCTGTTGTGGCTTATATCAGACCACATCAAGTATGTCCAACATATCAACAATGATGTGTCTAGTGTGTGCTGAAAAGAGTTAGTGTTCTAGCTTGCTTCTCACTTTCAGCCTACACTCCTGGCAAGGATCAATGTGAAACTGAGAGCCAAATGTGCAAGTCCCTCTGTGTTAATACAGAGTCTCTCCATCAGTAACTCCTCATGCCAGCACCAGGAGACTGAGTTCCTCACAGCCCCTGGCTACAGCTTCAGAGTAACCTGGCAGAGGTTTGACCCCAAAACATGTAGTGCGGTTGTGGATGCATCCTGCTTCTCATGAACCAGTGAACCCTGCTTTGGGTGAATCCCTTGCTCCAGAACCTTGTTAATATCTTAGGTGAGTCAAAGGTTAGGGGAGCAAATACTAACAAAAAATCTGGCGCGGAGCCCAGAGAGGAACTTCTGCAATCAAGTCAGTGTATATCTTTGAATCCAAGTGGGAGGTCAAAAGGGGCAGCAGTCTCCATAAAGTTTCCTAGTTTGTTGCAGAGTCTTAATACAAAGCAGGAGACAGCAGTTACAAGTGATAAGCCCAACTCAATTATTGTAGAGAATTAGTGATAAGGGATGTTTCTGACAGTAGGAGAGGCCTTCACGTCCCATTGGTCAGCCACCTCATACCTTAGATTGGAAAACACTAGACTGGAGTCCAGCTAAATGAGTGCTTGCAGCTTATAGGCTCTGCTCGAAAGTTGAATAAAATCTACTATAGAAGTCAGGCAATTTTTTAGAAAAAGGAAAATGCAAACTCAAACTGGAATGCCAGGACCAAGTGCAGGGGATTGATAGTGATTTACAGTTGTCCATTAAGGCACAAAAAATGACTGTGATTAAAATGAAATTCCATAAACAGAACACAGATATAGCTTCCTTCGAGACCAGAGGTTCTCTCATTGGGTGTAGTGAGTTCCTTACAGTGAAGTCTACACCATGTTCACAGGTTTCTGAGCTCAGCCCCTGCAGGGTGAACGTGTAATGTTTTCTTTCTTTTCTTTCTGTATTCGATCACAGGATGAGGGGATCGCTGGCTAGGCCACCATTTATTGCCCATCTGTAATTACCCAGAGGTCAGTTAAAAGTCAACCACATTGCTGTGGGTCTGGAGTCACATGCAGACCAGACTGGGTAAGAATGGCAGTTTCCTTCCCTAAAGGACATCAGTGAACCAGATGGCTTTTTCCAACAATCAACAATGATTCATGGTCATCACTAGATTATTAATTCCAGATATTTTATTGAATTCAGATTCCACCAGCTGCCCTGGTGGGATTCAAATATGGGTCCCCAGAACATTATCTGGGTCTCTGAATTAACAGTCCAGCGCTAATACCACTAGGCCATCGCCTCCCCCGCATTAATTGATCCACCTTTGGAAAACTTGGCCTCTTGTAAGGGAGTCCATCCGTGTTCTGCTTATTACAATCAGCATGTGTACATTAAAGGGCAGCTTAAATCACTGTCAATCTCCTGCACATGGTCCTGTCATTGCAGTTTGAATTGGCATTTTCATTTTTCTTACATTTTTGCCTGACTTCTGCGGTGGCTTTTATCCACCTGCTGAGTACAGCCTATAAGCTGTAAGCAGCCCTACCAGTCTAAGGTTTCCAAATCTGTCCTCCACTACAGAGGTATAGGACCAGTTTTATGAAGAGCTTAATACGGCTATAAGCAGATTGTACAAGTCTGAATGTCTTCACCTACTGTGAGATTTTAAGGCAATAATAGGTGTGGATCATGAGGTCCTTATGCCTCAGGCTGCATGCCCTGGGAAAGATAAATAAGAATGGTCTGATACTGCTTGAGGATTTGCTGCTACCATACATTTTCAGCACAAACCACACCACTAGGTGTCTGGAGACATCCATAATCAGGCCATTAGCACCAATTCGATATGATTATCACCAGATGTGCCTCTCTGAACCACATTCTGAATACACACAGCAGCTGCAGCACTGACTGTGATATAGACCACTGACTGTTATCACCAGGCTTAAGATACAACCCTTGAAGTTTTTAAATTCAAAGCAGAAATGCTATTCTGATATCAATAGTTCCCTGACATACTTTAACAAGAGCCCTCTGGTGTTCTTACACAGAGTACAGAAGCTAAATGTATCATACTTGAAGATACTATCTATAATAACCTTTGGGAAGCAACAGCAGAAAAGTGGTAAATAAAAATGGAAAGAACTGCGGATGCTGTAAATCAAAAATAAAAACGGAAGTTGCTGGAAAAGTTCAGCAGGTCTGGCAGCATTTGTGAAGAGAAATCAGAGTTAACATTTTGGGTCCAGTGACACTTCCTCAGAACTGAAACATTAACTCTGATTTCTCTTCACAGATGCTACCAGACCTGCTGAGCTTTTCCAGCAATTTCTCTTTTTGTAGTAAAAAAGTGGTGACTGGTTTGAAAGTAACATCACTCTTAAAGAATCTGTCATTGAAGCTAAGTGGGCTGTTCTCATTAACTACAAAAGTCCAAGCAAAAATACTCAACGTATTAAGGTTAGTTTGAAGTAAAGTTTAACAAACTGCCAGGTGGTGCACCAGTGAGTACTCTTTTTAACTTTGCCAGGATATCCATATGTCCTTCAACATGGGGAATGAACGAAGGAACTAAAGAGGCAACTGATCTATCAGTAAACAAAGCCAGTCCATTGAAAACTACTCCATTGTACACTCGTCATGGAGGAAGCTCTGGAGACCAAAGAAAGTCATGCTGAGTAGAATATTGAATCCATAGTGGAGGACCTTAGTAAATTGACTCATGAACCTGATGCTAAATCATCTGAATCATCAAGCACAGGAAATCAACATTCCTGCAGTAACTCTACAAACTTCTCTGTCGCTGCTGGAGGAAGGGAACAGTGAAAGGCAAGTGCCCGGGATATCTGTACAAAAATTATAACAACTTTGAGGAATCACCCTGCTGAACACTGTGGGAAAAGCATTTGCTCTTGTATATTGTCCTTGTCAGACTGTAGATCAATACAGTGTGGCCACAGAACAATAAAATCTGCAACTGACGTGATGTTCTCAGTTTGGTAGCCTCAAGAGAAACATTGCGTCCAAAGGAGTCCACTATATATTCCCTCCATTAATCTCACCAAAGCATTCAACCCTGTGAACAGAGGCACTGGTGCAGAAAACTGCCTACGTGCTAAAGCTGCTCAATGTTATCTCCTCTTCTCATGACAACTTGATGGATAAGTATGAAGTGGCAACATTGGAACCCTTTAGAATCCACTACGGAGTCAAACAGGGTTGTGTTTTGGCACTGACACTCTTTGGTACGTAATTTTCTTTGCTACTGTCATATGTCTTCAGATTACTTACAGAGAGTATAGACTTATTTACCAGACTGACAGAAAACTATGCAACGTTGCCTGCCTGATATACAAGACGAAGATGCATCAAGTACTCAGAGAGTTGCTGTACTCTGATGATGCTGCATTTACATTCTTAGCTAGCAAGTAACATATTCAGTGTTGGACAGTCTCTCTCACATCTATAAAGAATTTGTTTTGACCATCAATCAAATCTTATGATACAATGTGTTGCCATGCCACCATCAATCAGGATTGGAAATGTAATCCTGCAGGTTGTTGATGGCATCATATACCCAAACTCCACAGTCACCAGCTGTTCTGTCACTTGATACTGAATACAAATGTTACAAAAGTTACTGATTTTGTGTTCAAGGAGAATAACAGAGTATGGAACAGTAGCAACGTGAATGACAATATCAAACTGCAAATCTACCAGGCCTTCATCCTTTGCAGTTGTAAGATCTGAACAACATATGCCAGACAGGAAAAAAAGCTTAACAGTTTCCACCTTCATTATTTCAGACTTTTCCTCAGCATCCTTTGGCAGGACAGGGTCGCCAGCTCAGAGTTGTGGAGGATGAGATTTCTATCAGCAGATAATTAATGTAAAACCCATGACATCTGTGCTGGCTGAGCCACCTTCAGCAGATACATGACACCCGTATATCCAAAATCTTTTTATATGATGAATTGGCAGATGAGTCGCAACTGCTTGGGTATCTTGGCTATAAGATAAATAGTAAGATAGTAGATATTGATACTGACAACTGGGGACAGTTTCTGATGGCTTTGGAAGCTGACTGTTTGGATGGGCATTGGAAGTGTTGAGCACAAATGAAAAATGAGAGCCTAAATGAGAAACACAAAACTATCTGGACATAATTTGCATCAACCTGCACAGCCAATCTAACTTACTTATTCTTGTAGAAGGCCTGGAGACTGCATTTCAAAATTTGGTGAGTGTTTAGCTGACATAGAGAGGAAAGAATGTTTAGGTGGGGAGAAATGAAAAGCCTCAATGCTATTCAATCAGATATGGAGCTGGAGGAGCACAGCAGGTCAGACAGCATCCGAGGAGCAGGAAAATCAATGCTTTGGGTCTGAAAAGTCGATTTTCCTGCTCCTCGGATGCTGTCTGACCTGCTGTGC